AATGGAGAGATAATGAATTTTAACAAAAAATATTTTCAATTCAATGGATATATTGGGGGTAAATTTTGTAATCTTGTAATGTAATGTATTGTAATGTAAATGACGTAAAAAGGGCACGAGCAGTAAAGTCCAAGAGTTCAATAAGCATATCACCGTAAGCAAATCCTTGGTATTTCCCTGTAAATATCAGTCGTGATGTCTTGAAATATAATATTATGAAATAAAACTTGGGTTAACGCAACAACATTACAATAAAAAAGCGTCCGCCTTTAAATGTCATTTTACCGCATCTTAATACACTTAACAATCTGGTCGATACTATACATGTGCAGTAAATGTTCTGGATGCGCATGTCGGGGCGCAAAGATAAGACTCCCAATGCCCATGTATGCACAACAGAGCAAACAATCATTGGTATATTGATATAATATTAAAAAGCAAGATTTTAGGTGCTTGTAGGGTCCCCTAACAATCAAAAGTATCGACCGCCATGGTTCAAGCGGTTAATTAACGCATCATAGCCGTTGAAAATTTTACAGAAAAAATAAATAAATACTCTGCACACCTGGAAGTACAACTAATTTGTTGATAACCCCAATTTATCATTTCGATACAAATTAGACTTGCATTATAAATGAAATAAAATTGAATAACACAACGCCACAACAAAACATATTGCAAAAAATGTAATAATCCATTGCACACCAAAACTTAAGTTTGAATACGAATTTTTGTCTAATATATCACCGAGCTTCCATGTGGACCCAGGGGGTGTCGGTTTACCCACTCGTTAGACTTGTCAATGGGGTCCTATCGCGCTCCAGAAATTCTCTGGAACGCCCTATGGCCCATATTACAAATAGGACTAAAAATAAATACTACGACCAAACTGGGGATTGTGAAACACACCCTACAAATTCTGATACCTTTACAAAAATAAAATAAAATGAAAAAAAAAATAAAATGAAAAAAAAATAAAAAAAAAAAAAAATAAAAAATAAAAAAATAAAAAAAAAAAAAAAAAAAAATTAAAAAAAAAAAATAAAAAAAAATAAAAAATAAAAATAAAAAATAAAATTACAAAAAAAAAAAATAAAAAAAAAAAACCTTACAAAATAAAATAAAATAAAACAAAAATACAAAAAAATTAAACAAAAATAAAGAAAAAATAAAAAATTACAAAAATACAAAAAAAAAAAAAGATAAAATACATCAGAAAAATGTAACATTTCATACAATATCAGTAAAACATAAAACAGTGAGCATTATATATATATATATATATATATATATATTAGTAATTCAATTTATAAAACGTTTAATTCCTAACTTATAAAAGAAGGCACCGACATTCAATAGTAATTTCAAAAAGTTGATGAAAAAAAATGGAGATTACTTCAATTGACTACCTCATTACCGGATTCTGCAAACAATTTTGTACGATATAGGCCAAATAAATATTGTCTAATTATGATCTTGATGCTGCTGTGTTTTTCCCTCCCGTCCAGGTGCCCACCAATCCCCAGAACCCCCCAACCCCCTCCCAACAGTTATATATTTTGTGTATCTTGTTTATTTTTTGTTTTTATTTTTATTTTGTTTTTTGTTAAGAAAGTTGTAACAGACAAGTATGAAGATTCTTTTGCAGAAGAGAAGACAAAACCATGCCGGCCTGGTTTGTCATATGATGATTTCATGATGATGAGAAGATGATGATATCGAAGATGATGATATCATAAGATAATGCGTGCTGATAATAAGGTATGAAGTCATAAATTAGGTTTGTAATATGGCAGCATCAACAACCACGAAAAGACTGGTTTTCACTAATATATCTAAATAATGATTTCTATTTCTTGTCGGCAGAATCCTTAATTTAAAAGAAATGGTATCAAAAATGAGTAAATAAGACAATAATGAGGTATTTTATTATGTCTTAAGTGACCATTTGTCATGTTCGGCAGTATTCCCATTATATGACAAATAAGTTGATTAGATTGGGGTTGCCTCCATACCAAATTATTATATAAATACAGAAATAAATGTTAAAAAAAGAAAAATGGGAATAGGAATTTAAAATACAAATAAATACAAAACAATACTTTGATAAACATCCATATAACGAAAGAAATATAATTTCAGACATCAAATATACAATTTTAGCGTAGTAGGAATACAAATAAGAATGATAATTTATGCGTTCTTATATTGTTTGCATTCATAATATTAGCAAATAATTGATAATGTCATACATACAAATCATATTACATTCAGTCTCTTTTTATATTAATGACTTTGGTCTCAAAGGTGCCAGATTCCAATGCATTTCTTCGTAATCACATAGTTACTTTCATAGTTGCATACTTGAGGTGGATAAATATATGTGGTGGATGAGTTCGATTCCATAATTGAGAAAACCTATAAACATTGAGAAAATTAGTCACGGCGCAGATAATACGTTATTTAGCTTTAATATATAATAGAATATAGGTATAAGATGGATGAGTAATTTCCATTCAATTCCCAATAGTGTTAACAGTGCCCACACTACATAAGATTAGTTAGCAAGAACGAACCACAAATAATATGCTTTATTCCATTAAATAAAAGTTGTAAATACCCTATTATAGCAAATCCATTACATGGCTATGCAATTATAAACGTATGTTGTTCAACCTTGCCATTCAAAATATATTACACTCTACAAACTTCTGTCAGTTTTTTGAATTTCATTGATTAAAACACTCAATTTGAATAAATTCATTTTTTATTT